TCAACTTCTTCATCTTCGTCTTCATTACCTTTCTTTTTTTTTCTACACAAATTCTATCATTTATTATACGTTTATTTAACTTCAAATATTCATTCAATTCACTTGGCGATGATCATTATCATTTTCTATTGCTCTCTGTTTTGAAGAAAAATTGTTAGCCATGATGGAAAAATCGCGGCACAATAAAATAAGATCGTAAAGAAGAATAAAATTTCAAATGATTAATGCTGGCAATAATTTCATCTCATCAATAATGCCAAGCTCAGAATCTTCTTCTATTTTATTGCTTCGCGACTAAAACGCATAAGCAAAAGCGTCGGATGAAAATATAAAACAATCAGATATTTATCGACATTATAAATAATAATTTATATGCTGTTTCATCACTATAAAACTTTCTCTGTTTGCGGGTGAGTAAATCCATATCTAATAATGATTAGACTTATCAAATATATAAAATTTATTGCTTATTTTAGCTTTGTCTTTCACAAGATTATCTTTATATATAATAATTGCGTCGATGGTATTATTTTTTATTCATTCGATTGGAGGTTAACTGCCTTATATTGTACAAAGTTCCTTTCGCAGCAGTTGACCCATCAATCAATCGAGTAAAAAAGATTTCCTTTTTTCTCTTATCAAACTACATTGTTATTGCTTTTCGAATACTCGGCTTTTTAATTTATTATAAAACACAACTCCCTGCTCCCGGAAGAGAGAGAATCGTAACAAGGGAAGGAGGTCAACAGCGGGACTGAAATTTGATGTCCGAACATAGTCGTCGTAGGACAGACACGCGGGGATGAAAATGCTATCGCAAGCATAAAAAACTCCCAATAGAAAGCGGAAAATCTATGTTTGGTATATTACAGCACAAACGTGTTGTTTTCGCATAAAATATTGCTTTTTTATTATATCCGGATAATTTGGTTGACATTAATTATTGCTTTCATGCCATTTATCACAAAGTTTTCATTTAAAAAAGATTTTTGTCCGCTTATTTAAATTGACTTTTTGGTTAATGTTTTGAGCTTTTCCTTCTCTTTTTTTTATTATTATTGTAAAAAGTAGATTTCTGTGAAAGCTTTAAACTTATGAATTAAATTGCTTTGTTTTGTGAACGAATTTTTGCGGGGGTGGGAGTAAATATTTCGAATAAAATTTCCTGCTGTGCTGTTGCCACAAATAGATCAACTGACTGGTTGAACTCTCCTCCCTTGAAAAAGAAAATCTTCTCAATGGGTGGGCGAAGTGCTTTTTTTATTGCTTGGCCGAATCAATTGTAAAATAATCACTTGAAATTTATAATATAATTGCTATCGATTATTGCTTATTTAATTCTCATCGAATAAAATTGAACAGAAGAATTTTCATTTCTTACATTTCTAAGGATCTTTAAGGGTTTCATTTTTCTTTTTACACAATCATATTCAATATCTTTATTAATAATCAATAATCTTTGCAGGTAAATGGGGAAAATTGCATCGTGACAATTCACTCTCTAAGAACATTTAATCCAAATCGTCGATAATCGAGTGAACTAATTGACTGTGTTCTCGTTATTAAACATTTCAACAATGTTTGGAAGGCAAAAGTACTTAAAAGAAGAATAAATTAAGCGATAGTAGGAAAACAAAGAAATAATTAAAGGTAATTAAAATGTTAATTTCTCATGTACTTGGTTAAAAAATAAGGAAAAGAAATAAAAGAAAAGTTGAATGAAAAATTGAATTCTTTTTTCACTGTTCGCATTTTACGCGCTCACGAGCCGCCTCGATCAACCACTTAAAATGTACTCGTCAGAAAGAGCACAGGAAAATAGAACGAAAGTTTTATGCCTCTTATTAATTAACGAGCACTTCGTTAAGCAAACACGTTTTGTATTCAAATAAGTTTTACGTGTTTTCTACACTATTAAAAATTCTTCCTGCCATTGTGTATGAGCGGTGACCATTAAAAAGTTTTCAACAATTTTTTCGTGTTCACCCAGGCGCTACTTTTTCTCTCTTCAAAACAACTTTTTTTTTGATTTAATTAAAGAATGTGTTATTCTGAATTGCCACCGACAGTTTGTTAGTTCATAGGCTATGGGAAAGGTAAATAGCGAGGTTAAATATAGTCAACCTTATCACGACTATCTTTCACATTGTGACTTCTGAATGTAATAGAGTTGTGCGTGCTCAAAAATAATTTGTTCATATTTCTCTTCGGCTCAATTCTCCTTAGCTTCCTTATGCTCGCATTCCAACGACACATTATGATTTTTAGCGGCAAGATAAGTAAACGCGAGGGCGAAATGTTAACAAAAGAGATAATTTAACATAAAACAAGCAAAGTTTGTCAATGGAAAATCGTGGGTGAGAAATAATAAAATGAAATTCTAAATGTCAGATGACGTCCTAATTGTCTCTTCGTCTTCTCTAAGATATCATCCAGGAACATTGTACCATAATCTACCATGTTTTGATTGCGCAATCAAATGCACAATATGAAGGAACCGAAAAACAGATTTTCATTTGGGATGAGATAAAACCATAAAAAATAATTAAATGAAAGAATGAAAACTCAAGTTTGGTGTAACAAAATGCAACTTTTGTGTATTTGTGTTGTGATTTCAAAACGATACATAAATTGATGCAATCTTTAATTAAAAATTATATAATTAAATTATGATAATTAATAAATAAGAATAAATTATGTTTACGAACTATTTCCTTAAATTTAATTCAACTTACAAGCTAAAATTTCTTATCTGACTAAAGTTTTGTTGTAAAATCTCAAAAATATTGCTTCTTATATTTACAACTTCAAATGTCTAGGAATTTCTTTTTAATCTTTAGCATGTTGAGAAGGTTTTGAGAGGAGTATTAATCAGTGTTTGATTATCTATCTGGTATTGATAGCAACACCAAAGAAGTATCCATAAAATAGTTTTTAAAAATAAATAAATTAATTAATTAGTACAATCGTGAGTTGTGGGAGCCGCCATTCTTTCTCAAACATTATAAATGTACAAGTTGGAGAAAGTTTTCCAGCTTTAAATCTTATCTAATTTTTGGTATTTTCTAGTGTACGATAGACCTTGAAGAAACTCAATGATCGTTTTATTTATCTTAGAAATAAACGTTGAAGTTAACTTAATTTAAGTAAATATTCTTGAAATTAAGTAATTGACATCTTTCTGTACATGAATCAATCTTTTGACTCTTTTTTAGCATTTCAAAACTCGGTATAAAAGTGATGAGATCATTATGAAGCATAAATACTGTGGAATGTATTTAGAAACCTACGACTAGACTGTACTCGTTATTTACTTAAACTTATTTCCCTCCCAAATCTCTTTCTAAATTCTAACAATTAATAAAATGTTTCTTATCATATTGCACGCATATCCCTTTTACTAACTGTGAATAATTCATTTCAATCCACTTCAAAGCTGTGTAAGACATTGAAGAAATGATTGAAATGAATATTTCAATGTTGCGAGAAAGTTTCTAAAACCGAAGAGAATAAAATTGTAAATCATACTTCCAATCCCGCTTGCTTGCGACTGTACAGAAAAACTTTAAACTTCTTTCGATGAGAACTTTATAATTTCTTAATTATTGGAATGTTTTACGAAGTTTTCTTTTTCCTTCATTTCAGATTTTCATTAAAGTGGAAAAGTTCATTTTAAAAAATCGATAAAATTGGTAGTTAATATCATGAGGAATTCTGGTGGTAGGACTTAGGAATGTAATCAATAAATGTGGAAAATTATTCGATAATTTAATCGGACATTTTTTGTTTTAATCTGTTGATATTTCAAACTATTGTCTTTGTCTTTTTTTATTTATTCCAAACCTTTGTCCCGCCAGTATGCAACAATTTTCATTAATTTTAAATCCCTGGCTTTCCAGCTTTTTCCGTTCATCTCTCTGCATTGAATAATTCAGTCACTTTTTTTAATTAATTGCATAACACAGCATATTTTATGAACCAATCGATTGGTTTCCCTCAATCGGCAATTTTTTTATCCGTGCGGTTGCTTCTTTGGAATAAAAAGTAAATTAAAGAAGGGACTGTTTGCATTGTTCAATTAAGCAAAGAGGAATCGAATTTAAAAATAAACGCGAACACTCACAAAACAAACAGAAATTACTTTACTTAGATTATCTAATCAATTGGATGATAAAGAAATTATTTGCTTCGTTTTATAAGCTTTGCAAAAACGAAATTTTTACTATTTTTGTACCTGCATGTGAGTGACTTGAAACAAGCGCGAATTTTTCGTCGTGATGATTTAAAGATTAATTAGAGTAAGGCTTAGAGAAAGAGAGAGAGAGTGATAGTTAAATATTTTGTTTTTGTTAAAGATATGAAAAGGACGACAATCTACTCACTAATTGGACGTTGGGACTGAACTATACTTTCTTATGTTTGGGCAAATTGCTGAACAGAAGAGAAAACGTCAAATGCAAGTGCGATTAATAAATACTTAAGTAAGTAAGTATCTAGATAAGATATTAAGTAAAGTCCTTAAAAGCTAAAAGGACGAGAAGGGTAATTGACTAGAATACTACAAAAATTGACCGACTAGGAAAGTTTCATGTTTCATTCATTTTTTGTTACAATTTGTGACAAAAAAGAATTTAAAGTCCTTAAAATCTATGACTAGAATATTCACCTCTTTTCTTCATTAAAAATGACTAAAATTAAATATTTTCTTAACACTAAACATTCCTTATGAGTTACTTTCTTAAATATCTAATTCGTTGTGTTTGAAACGTTGCTTTATGTTCGTTGCTTGAACTTGTCAAAACTGGTGTTGCTTGTCAAACAATAATGAAATGTTAAGAAGGAAACCAACAGGAAAATTCTTTTTTTCTTTTATTATAGTACAGCTTAAGATTGACTTTGTAGACTTGAATGCTATCATGACATGACAGTTGAAGGTTCTTATAGTTATAAGATAAGTACTTAGCGACTAGAAAACATTTAAGTTTTGGTTGAAAGGAAATAAAAATCTGAAATCCCTTTATAGACAATTCAGATCCACTAGAGAGAAAATCAAACAAGTTGAAACTAAGAACTCTATAATTAAATACTTCAGGTGTATGAGAATGATATAACAGTTTAACATGCGATTTGCTACTGCCACGAGAGACTTTAACTTCATTGCATAATAGAAAGACTGTTAATATCATGTCAACACGAGAAGTGGACGTATTGCTGATTCTTAATTACCTAAGTATGACGTATAAATCCCTTAAACTCAAACTAAATCAACTAAAACTCTGTCTTTCATTCTTTTCTTCTTTCTTTCTTCTAACACGTTAAAATTAAAACTCAACGCTTTTTTTTTGTTAAGTGTGGGAAAGTCCTCAACTCAATTAAACCTCCCAACATAATTAAAGGTGGAACATAATGTAAAATCGATACGACAATTTGAAAACCGCCAAGTTTCCTGAATGAATGAATGAATGAGTGAATTGTATTCGTCAATGAAAAGGAAAAAAAGAAATTTTGTTTACTTAAAAGAACTTTTCTTCTCTTCATTATAGCATTTAAATATAGAGCCATAAATACTTTTTTTTTCATATAATGCTTGTATTTTTTGTAAAGATTATAAGTAATGACTTTCAAAGGTTTTTCTTTAGCTTAAAGTTTTTTAATCAATTCGTTATAGTTTAATTTTTTCTTGTTTATCGTTTAAGTTTAGTTATAAGAGAGAAAAAATGTTTATTTTTCTTCAATTGCTTCATTGCTAAAAGACTTTCATATTTTTTAAAAATTCTTTTCATCATTTTTTTGTATTTAAAAGAAGTTTGAAAAGACGTGTTTGTTGTGAGGGTGACGGAACATAGTATTAAACAACATGCTACGGTTACCCAGCAAAATTGACAGCTAATTGGACTGTTGTTGGATTAAGTTTTGTCAAACAGGACATAGTATTGCTTGTGCTTATGTTATTGTTGTTGTTGCTGTTATTATTATTATTATTATTCGATTGTTGAATCGTTGCTGCTGCTGTTTGTGTCGCTCCGAGAAACGACGTTATCATCACATTGTTATTCGTTGCTGCTGTGTTGCTGTTGTTTTTCACTAATTTATCACTACAGTTACTAGTTATGCTACAATTACTGTTGCTATTGAAGTTAAGTGCTTCAAGTCCCGCTGGATCATCTTTGAAGCAAGCAGATTCCAAATGTTTATTCAAATAAGATTTGAGAGCGAAAGTTTTGTGACATCGTGCACATTCAAAATTCTTATCGATGGAATGTGTTTGCATGTGAGCTCTTAAATTGCTTCTATCGGCGAATGCTTTGCCGCAATGTGCACATCCATAAGGTTTCTCGCCAGTGTGCGATCTTAAATGACCCTGCAGTAGCCATGGTCTTGAGAAGAGTTTTCCGCATACTCCACAGCTATGCGACAACTTGTGAGTAAGAACATGCATTGCCAAAGCAGGCATCGAAACATAAGCTTTGCCGCACGTGTGACATTTCTTCGCTGACTGAGAATCGAGACTGCGATGAGTCTGTTTATGACGTGACAGATTACTCGACGTTGCATATTGTTTTCCACACTCAGTGCAAGTGTATTTAGCTTTGTTATCATTTGGAACCACCTCGCCTGTCATCTTTCTTTTCGAACGTCCATCACTAACAAAAAAAGCTTCGTACGTGTAAGCGACCGTTCGATTTGATCCAATTCGAGTCGTCTCCATATTTTGATTATTTTTTATGTTAACATTTGAATTATTATCATTCTCATTTTGAATCATTTCACATTTGCCATTAAGTGGTGTTAACGTGGCAGGCGAATTAAGTGGCGATGCAATGCCATTAAATGATGTTTGCAATCGATCATCTGATTTTGACAATATAATTGTAATGTTGTTGTTGCTGTTCGACTTTTGTACATGATTCTCATTATTGTTGTTCACTTGTTGATGATTCGATGAAGAGGAAGAAGATGGAGATTGATTAGGTGGTGGTAAGAAAGCTGTAGAAGCGCTCAAGTCCAAAATTGCGTGTGCTGCATGTAAATCTTCCTCAGCTGGTATTCTCAATTCGAAGGATCGCGATGACGGTGTCGGCCTATCATCAAGTGAATAAGGACGATAAATATCTTTCTTTTTAGGCGGCAGAGACAAAGCAGCTCCAGTACTCGTAAAGCACATGGCTAAAGATTTTCGTTGATGTGGTTGATTTTGAGCTGTTGATTCACCAGACGGTGACACCTGATGAGGTGATGTCACATAATGTGTTCCTTGAGATGACGTTACGATAGTTACCTCTTGTTCCATTCTCGGTAAATAAGCTGTGAAGTGCATTGAGGGAATGTCATGTCCATATCCTGTGAAGAATTAAGAAAAGAAAGAATTCGTTAATTCTTTAATTATTTTACAAGAACATTAAAAGAATTTCCCGACAAATTAAAAGCGAAAAGTGTGAGAGAAACAAAAAACTTTTTGTTCTTCGCCTTTTTTTTTGAGTTGCAGCTTTTTTCATTTTTTAATTTCACTTAAGCTCATCAAAGGTTAATGTTGTTTACGAAACAATTAATTTTTAATTCCGTAATTACAGCAAGAAAAAAAGAAGAAAGCAACATCAGTAATAAGTTTTCTGGAAAGTCGAGGAAATTTTTCAGCAATAATCATTTTACCGTCACTTAGAAAGAGAAGGAGAAGAAAGAAAGGAAGAAAAAGCAAAACTCATGAAAAATTAGTCTTTGAAAGAACAATAATGAAGTTATTTATACTTCAACTCAAACGTAAATAATTTTCGACAACATCCTAGAGCTGAGACAGGGGAGAACAACGAATGAGACATACAAGAAAGTTTTGTTCTGTGTGTACATGCTTGAAGCCGAGGGTGGCATCAAATTGAAGCTGCTGAGCACAAGTAAAAAAAGAAAAGCTGGCGAAAGAGTAAAGAAAGATGAAGAAAAAACAAAAAAATGTTTCATTCCCTTTGCTTCCACTTGAACATTCTTATTTACTTTTTAGTTGTTGTCAAGTTGGTAGGATTTCAACTAGAGAGATAAGCACAGACACAAATCTTGAACAATAGAACTACCTAGTAAGAGAATGTTATATTTCCCTTGTTCTTTTCCTTCTTATTCATTTTCATTTTCTTCTCCTTTATACTCAATCTTTCATGTTGTTGTTTCATGGGTTTTTCTTTTATTTTTATACCATGAGAGATAACTAGAATGAATTGAAGTAATAATGATAATAATAAAGAACAATAAATATCATAATGGAAAGTGTGGAGAAAAGATTTCTTCCTCCCTCTAATTCAGCATTTTCTTGTCAGACAGCAAACATCTCTCTCTCTCTCTCTATCTCTATCTCTATTGTGGAATGAGTGGGCTGTGCTCGATGTTCTGTATTGTTTAGTTGAGGGTGAGCAAAGAGTAGCATCACATCACATCGCATTCAAAAAAAAATTGAAAGCAACACATTTTGTGCTGCTTTTATAAGATGAAGAGAAAGGAAAGATGTTTTCATTCTTCTGCACTATTTTATGACAAATAACATTGCTTTGTATGCGATATATTATGTATGTTGCGATACTCTCTTACCACTTGTCGTCGAATAAAGCAATTTTGAGGTTCTTGAAAATTTCTTTATTATTATTCCTTTTGTATTCATCATCCTTTCAAATGATTGACCCAAAAAAAAAGGAAAAGAAAAAAGAGAGAATCGTTTCGCAACCAGCCGAACCATAAATGTGCGATGAAGGTTGTAAAAGAAAATTCTTTTCGTTTATTCCTAAAGGAAAATTGTTGAATGAGAATCATTTTTATGTAGCAGCTAAAGTAGCAAACTCGAATCGAAAACGAGACATAGTAATAACATAAAAACTTTATATTACATTTATTCCACTAGTTGCTAGTCCAAAAAGAAAGAAAAAGAAAGGAAAATGAAATGGAATAATCTGGTGAGCGAATATTATTGATTCATCGATTTTCTTCCTTTCCCTTCATGTCATTTGTATGCATGCAAAATGCTTGTTCGAATAGAAAATTCTTTTCAGAATGTGTTACTTTACTTTCAACATTTCTTTCTATTTTTCAGGGCTGTCACATCAATAGTCGTGTAATTGAGCTATCAATCAAAAGGTTTCTTTAAATACAAATGACAAGCCAAATAGTAGTGCAAAGAAAAACTGAAAATACCTCAAGGGAAAAGCGGAAAAGTTTTCTCGTTTTTCTATTTTTATTCACACTATCGTTCCAATTCACCGAACTGAACTTTACTGCCTTGACATCGAACCATTGTATAAACAAGACTTAACAGCATAACAAAACAAATTTTTATGGGTTTTCTTTTATGAATCAATAGTACAGTAACTAGTTGATACCTTCGTCGATACGATACAGACAGAAGGGAGATAATATTTATGAAGTTAAATGGAGTTGTGCAAAGCATGACTAAAATAGAAATATCAACAAACTCCAGCAATATGATTCGTTATCTGATTTATATTATTATGATAGATATTTGTAAAAAATAAATAAACAATTGTACATTGTTATTGTATTCAATTTCAATCAGATACGTTCATCACAAGTGAGTGACACCAAAAAGTAAGTTACACTTGTGTTTTATGCTATTGATAGTAGTCTTAATAGGATTATTTTAATTGCAAATTGTTCTCCATTTTCAATGTTTGGAGTACTAAGCTTTTATTTTACTGTTTGTACATTTCACTCTAACTCTTCTCAACTTGCACTTAGTTCCTTTCCACCCCTCTACAGAAATATCTCATGAAAAGTTTTTCATTTTATTTAAGAGATGGAAAATGTTTCAATATAAGTAGTTTATCGTTTTCTTCCTGAATTCTTGTGGATTTCTATGTTTGCATTCTACTTATACGCCACAAACAGAGAGAGAGAGAAAATTCCCTACAACAAAAGTTTACCTTTCCGCATTACGCTATGAAATAAATTACTATCAAATCACAAGTAGATTTTCTCGAACAAAAAAAGAAGTTTTCAAGCACAAGAAGAGGAAAATTTGTGTTTTCCGCCACTCAGACACATATCGATTCCTTATTTTCCCTCTCTCTAACCTCATACAGTTGTCTGAATAAATTATTTAAACAAGAATAAAAGGTTCTCAGACTATCTATTCTCTTTGTGGCTTGTTTCTTGTTTCTGAACTGAACATTCTCGCAAATCTCTGATTTACGTTCAACTTTCAAAGTCAATTTTCGATAAAACTTTATCTCTTTCCAGTAATCAAGAGTGAATGAAGTGAATTCAACAGGGTTTTGATGACGTTATATGAAATATTTAGAATCGCTACATGCTTACGAATTTACCTAATTGCAGTTGTAGATCAAAAGTGAAACGATAAATTTGCGAGGTACTCTAATTTTCCTTATTTCATCGTTGTCGTCATCGCCGTCGTCGTCGTCGGCGGCAAAGCCATTTGTTTATATTGTAAATTTGATTTTTTTTCTTCCCTCTTTTGCTTGTATCATGTTTAAAGTTTGGCACAATTCCATAATGACTTTATTTGCCAAAAACTTGATTCTCATTTTATTTTAAATTTTATGTTCACTCGCAATGCATGCAATTTTACTCAAGTCCATTGTGAATTGCAATAAAGTTGAAAGAAACGATAGCAGAGTAGGAAAAACTATTAATGAATCAAGGCTGATACATTGACCGTTTTAACACAAAATGAATAAAATGCAAGCAGCCAAAAACGAAAATTTTCTAAGGTAAGTAGATGCACGTATCTCAATTTCACAATTTATCTGTCATTTCATAACAGTCATGATTAATGTTGAGAAGGTAGGAAAATAGAGAAAAAAATTGCAAACTTCAAGCTCATTATCATAAAATGAAAAACATAGAAATTATTATTGCCGCACTGCACCAGCACCAGTTAGTCGAAGAGATGGAAATTTTGTAGATCCCACTTTTTGTGTGTACTGTGCCGATTTAGTTTTCTTGGCCCACGGCTTCTCAAACATAAAACTCGACAATTTAACATCGAAAAAAAGCGACAAAAAAGAAAACAGCCATAAAATTTGTGATCGCTTTAAATTGGCCCCATCCGTTTCTCCTTGTTTAAATAACCCGCGCCAAAAAAAGGAAACTTTTTCGACAGTGCTATTAAAAAAGCTTTTCTTTCTCTCTCGTTTTGTGTTTATCGAGTGATGGAAGATGGCATGAGGACACAATTTTCACATTTTCACCAATGACGACATAATTTTCACAAAATTATAAGTTCGAGAAAATCTTCTTCGTCTTACCCAAAACAATATGTTTTTATGTGGCTTTATGTATTTATCTTGTATATAAACATAACTATGCTTATGTTTAACTTGCCGCGCCATATCGTTCATAGCCAATGAGTGTGTGTTTGTGTGTATTTGTAGTAAATTTGCCCTTTTTCTATATTTTATGCTTTTTTTTGCGCTGTTGCTTTTCTCTCATGCCATTCCGATACAGAAACATTTTTGTGTGCACAAAACCAAAAAAAAAAGAAAAAAATAAATAAACGGAGTGAAGCGAGTGGTTGGTAATGGCACAGAAAATCAATAATATTAAAGTCTATAACACCACATAACTGGCTTGGAGCTTGCCGAAAAGGAAACAAAAATAGGAGCTTTGTTGAAGACAACTAAGAGAAAGTTCCATCGAAGCTTTTTTATTTTATTTTGTTACTATATTATGGTTTCGAAAGTTGTCACAAGCAAAACGAAACGACAAAGATATTTTATAACTCAATGCCAATAGGGAGATAAATTTGTATGTGCGCGAGAGGGAAATGACTGACGAAAGAAAGAAAGAAAACAACAAAAAAAAGTTGCTTTATCTTTTCTGGTAATTTTGTGTGTTCATTGTGGAGGTACGTGGAATCTTCACACGACATGTTCATGTTCGTGTGCAGAGAACTCAGAGAGCAGCAGAATCAACAGTATGTGACAAGAAGAAATGAGAAATTCTTTCAGCAACAGATTTCCAATCAAAGTTGACAGAAATAACTTAAATACCACAACGTCATACAAAGTCGACTTCCTTTCTCATCTTTTTTTTTCTTACTTTTCCAACTCCATAAAACTGGCAATGGCAGAATTGATTGTCGAAAGAAGAAATCGAGAATGAAGCATATCGAAGATTCTTCCGCTAAGTTTCTTTCTTTTTTTCAATTAAATGTAATTTTTTCCATCCATCTATCGTCTCGATTGATGTCGTAAGGGGAGACGAAAGAAAAACCAAGCAATTTCTTTTCATACTTTAATTTAATTTTAAGAAATTTTTCTTCTCTCGCTGTGATTTTTCTGAATTGAAAATGAAAATTTGTTTTGTTTGACTTTTGAACTTTCATTTTTTCTATTTTCTATGTTGAATTGCAACGCGAATGTAGCAGATGTCATGAAAGAATGAGAAGAAACAAGATTCATGAGGATACATCAGTAACAAGACCCGAGGTGATGTATGAGTCTGTGATGATGCAGTTTTCATCTCGCAATGTCTGTCTGACGATGTTCTTCTCCTTCCATGATATTAATTTTGTCGTAATCATTTAATTTAGTTGAAAAGCATAAACATAAAAAATTCCTTCTTCTTTTTTTAGCATTAAATCATCAAACTAAATGATTATGTTCTAATAAAAAGCATTGGAATATGTTCATATACTTATGAGAAAGTTTGAATGTTGAGAGAAAAATTGAAATTTTATTCAAACATTCAACTGACTTCATCTATTCTGATCTTATTTAATCTATGCTGCAGACTATTAGATTTATATGAAAAAATTCTTATTAAAGAGAAAAGCTTTTATGTTTGAAATTCGTTTGTATGTAATTCTCATATAAGTTCCACTCTTGCTGTGCGATCTCCCTGAGGTACAATCCATAACCTTCCAATCTTTTTCCTCGTTGTGTGTCTTTTTGAATCTGCCTTTTGCAGTTTGGCAGGAAAATAAAAGAACGAACATCATTTCACGTTTTGGAAGTGTGTTTTGTAAGGAGGAAGCGAAATTTCTCAATTTAAATGCCTGGGTTGAGAGAGAAACTCTTGACTCGTTCTCCATTAAATAGAAGATCACATGTCTGGCAATAGCATTTAGTTATTCGTAGTACATATCAAGTATTTTTCATGCAAATATGTATGTAGTTATTCGTATAACTGAGAAAAATGAGAATTTAGTAAAGACGTTATCATTCCCAAAACGAGTCAACTTGGAAATTAAATGGAAATGTTAAAAAATAATTCAATGAATCTTGTGCAATATTTTTTTATCTTGTTGAATTTTCTTCCATTTTCTTTTTGGCTTTGATATGGAATTTCTTTTCCTTCTTTCTCTTTACTGACACCCGCAACAGTTGGGAAAACGTTTTTCTCGCATGCTGAGCGGGTACGAAAATAAAATAAAAAAATCAGAAAGATGAATTTTCAGTCGAATCTTTTATGGTTTTAATGGATTTTCTTTCTTCTCCTCCAGAAATGATATTTAAATTTCGAAAAAAATTTAAAATTGGCTTTGCTTGCTGCTGCTTGTGTTCCTTCAAGATAAATAAACATTATCGTAAAAATTAAATTATAATTTAATTGAAATCATTTTCGCTTGCAAAGAAAGCGTCGAAAAAGCATTCAAGATTCAGTAGCATAAGTAAGAAGTTTTGTGTTGCATTTGAAATGTTGTCTGTGAAGCGAGAACGGGAAGTTCAAAAGTTATTGCATTCAAGTCTGGAAATTCCAACTGGGGACAAGTGTTGGATTGGGAAAATAATCATTTTCCATTTTCACGTTATCTTTTTCGCCAGCATTTTAAAAAGAAATATCTAGATATTAAAATTATTCTTGAGATATTTTATTTCTTCACAGCTGTTGCATTTCGCATTTCTCTTCTGTCGCTTTCTTCTTTTTCCCCAACGCGATGAACATGCATGCGACAGAATGAAACATTTTCAAATGCTTTTCCATTTTCAAGACAACGATATAAAGACAAAAGACATGGAAAACGAGGAAAATTCTTATGCAATTTTTCACAATGTCAAAATACTTATGACAAGGATTTTTCACGGTAAATTTTTCATAATTTTTCCATCGTCTATGCTTAAGTTATTCGTTGATGTGCCGGTGAGATTTGAAACAGAAGCAAAGCAAATTATTTCTTGTTTTTAAAACTTTCTTCTTCCTGTTGTATAAGTAAGTAGGTTAATGAATTAGTTTTTATGTTAGTTGTTAATTAATTTCTTCAAACTACTTAATGTTAGTATTTTGTTTTGTTAATTTTGTTATTTGACACGAGAAAGTCGCTATCCAGCTCACTTTTTCAGTCCTAATGCTACAACACAAATGTTAACTACAAAAACACGAGAGAATTATTTTGAAAAGTGTATGAATATATCTTCGTCACCATCAAACCAAGCATAAATGATTGTTTCTTTAATATCCTTTTCACGCTTCGCTTCGAAGAGATCTTTTTCGCGCCTCTTGTGTCTTCTACATATTCTTAAGTATTCTACGAGATCGAGCTTTAGAACTGTGAGAGAATGAACAAATGTTTCACTCAGTTGCTTTATTGCAAAATAATCCTTAATGTCACTGAGCTCCAACACATACAGAAGAGGAATGAATGTGAAGCCAGCGATGGTCTTCAATGAACAACTGAAGGCCTGCCATGAAACATATTCATCGCTACACACTCGAGAGACGAGATTCGGTGATAAAACATGATTCTTCTCATTCAAGCTTGCACATTCAAGTGTTGCCAGAAGGTAAATTGTGCTTTGTTATAAGACTAATTGAACCCTCAGAGAATCTTCTTTGAACCTGATTCATGTTGCGTTTTAATAAGCTCCCCGGTTTCTTTCACTTGATAGCAACATGTTTTATATTACGTTTTCCTTCTTTTTTTCTCATTTCTCGGTCTTCGAAAATGTAAACAAATTGTGTTTCACACAATCTTTGTCTTGTTCAGTTGTTGGGCGGCTGCTTAAACATAAATAAATTCATACTCAACGAAGCAATTGATGCTAATGAACGCCTGCCATTACCCTCAATATCGCTTCATCGCCTCCACCGTTTGCTATCATCTTACACACATCTTTCGTTTTCATTATTCCTTCCTTCTCACTCATGTTCTCAGGGATAATTGAGGAAAGGAAACGCTAAGTTATAGAAAAGTTTTCTTCTTCTTTCATTTACGAATTTGCGTCTTGTTTTATCCCTAAGGCACTGGCAATTTTCATTCCAGATATTTTATATTTTCACGTGGATGTTTTGTATGAATCTTGATTCTTGATATTTAATTCATTCGTCAGTGAGAAGAGAAGATTTTCATTCGAACTGACATTTTTCCTTCCTCATACACATGTTTGTGTGTGTTTGTGTGATTTTACTTGTGAGATTCTTGTCAAGTGTTAATACAATTAACATAAATATTCCTTGTCTCACTCACTTCCCCGATGGAGGTTAAACGAGAGCATCTTCTTGTGTAACTTTTTTTCCTGTTCGTTTCTTGAAGCACATTTTGCGCGCATATTTTAATTACGGTGAAGTTGAGAGGAAGAAGAATCAGAAAAAAAGGGAAAAACTTTTCATGTTTCTTTCTAAAGTTCGTGTATGTGTTGGGATGGTGGAAGGAATCTTGATGTGAATTAAAAGATTCTCATCCCTCGTGAGAGTTACACACTCATAAGCTCCTCGAGGTCTTATCATGCAGCTTTATCTTCCGAGTCTACGTTTCTTTTTCATGAAGAAAAGTTTAGTTTAAAACTTTTTTTTCTTTCCATCGTGTAACTTTAAAGAAAATGTGAAGAAAATCCGAGGGATGTTCAGGGTGGATTTGAGATCATCAGTGTTAAACGGGAAAGAATAAGAATGAGAAGAAGGTGAAGAATAAACGGCAGCTAACAAAATGTTAAATTTAAACATGTATTAGGTGTAATCTAAATGCACATTTTTTACTTCATTTTTATATGCTACATGTGCGAATAGCATTAAGAAAGTTAAAGAAAACGAAGAGCAGTAGCAAATTTTGTTGTCTGAGAAAAGTTTTGCTTGCTGATTGTTGTTATTGTTGTTATTCCTTCTAGACAAACATAATTACCAAAACAATTCGAATTCCAATGTGAGAGAAAGTTTTATTACAAATAATTAATGATTTTGATATTTAAAAGCTGAACTTTGCCATTGTGGCAGGATTGAGAAAGAAATTACTTGAAATTCATTGCATCATGGAAATAATTTTCTTTTTTTTAACGTTCATTGAGTTTCCTTCACAACAGACGGATAATGCGATTCACATTTCATTGTTTTTTGTCTCCTTACATTTTTTTCCTTCTGTGAAAATAATTTAATCTAATTAAACTACAATGAACGCAAGGACGATGAAAAAGAGAAAGAGAAAAGAAATGTTGAAATTGAGATAAAAACCATTCTTCTTCACTCGATGCTAACAACGAACACCCTCGTGTTCATTTCAAATTAATTCTTATTCAAAAGTATGTTATCAACAAGAAGATGTCGAGTAGTATTTTTCACGGCACAAAACTTAATAGCAAGACTCAAAAAAGATGGAAATCGAGAAGAACTTTTGAATCTTTAAATCCTCATTATGCGCTGATGCCTTTAGTGAAAGAAGCTTGGCGGAATATTGCTTGGGGGAGGTCTGAGTGAAGACTATTCCGTATTTTTTGTGCACAATGTTCTCTTTTTGTTCTTCTTATGTATATCAAAGAAGAACATAATCCAACATTGATGTGAATGCTTAATGAATTCTCATCATTTCTTTCAAGCAGCATGTCTTAACCCGCACATAACAAGACACAACACGGAAGCATCCCAATGTTTAGATAGTCTTTTAAATTCGCATCATAAAAGAGAAAAGAAAACGAGCGAATGGATGGATGGAATGATGGTGGTGGAAGTTGGAGTGAAATAAAAATAACTGAACTCATTTCATTAACTTCGGCTAAAGGGAAACAAGCAAGCAGAAAAAAATCTCACTTTTACCCTGCAATGACATACAAAATGCTGGAATATTTTTGTTTCTTTCAGCTGTTTTTACATTCACATCAGTCGATGTTATTTTTGTTGTGGGTGGAAGGGAAGCAAGAAGAAACAAAAAATATATAAAAATTATTTCACCAAACAGCTACGATAAAAGACCACATTCCGTCCCATAATCTTGCTTCTTTCGTTATGCACGAACTCAACAGCTAGTTTGTGTATAACCGAGAACGGAAAGAGCAACGAAAGAAGAAATTGTTGAACCAACTGTTGAAAATAAAATTACTCAGCATCAGCAAACATACAAAGGAATTATAATCATCAAACCATAGCCTTATTTAATTTTAACTTTAAGTTGAAAATGAGAAGGAACAGCGAGTAAAATTAATATAGAAAAAAAGCGAGATGAAAAGTCTCGGTTTGTTGGTGCGAAAACCACTGACGAGTCTTTGTTTAAAGCTCATGGATAAAAGTGAACTACAATTTAGAAGTAAAATACTGCAGTTAGTTGAGTTTCTCATCAGCTCTAGATTTTTGTGAAGCTCTATGCACATCGTAACGGTTGGAATGTACACAGCAATGAACAAGATCAAAAAGTGCCATTTTTCATGAAACGTAATGAAGCAGAGGTGTTGGATTGTAAATGGTAGAACTACGGGTGTTAAGAATCATCATGATGGAAATGTCTATGATGTGAAAATGAATTTTCTACCGTTTCTCTTCTTTTTTTTCATTTAACTATCTTAACGAAAGCATGGAAACAAATTTCACCTCCTTGACTTTAGTTGAAGGGAAAAGAAATTCCATTATGCGAGAAAACCCCAACCACTTGTAAAGCGACAGGTTTGGAGCGTGAAGATTGGAATTATGCAAAATTCTGCGCTATCACCGCTTTACGATATCTAAATAAATTATTTTTTTACTCCACTTCGTCTTATTCCTTCGTAAATGCATATTGTGAGACTCCTTCTTAACCACTTTCGAAGCTCATTCAATCGTAGCGCGTCAGCTGCTTGAGAGCATAAATATGACGTGAACAATTCTCATAATTAAGGAATTCTTCACTTGTTTATAGATAAATTAAAGAAGATTTCATGAACTTGAAATCATTCAACGATAATTTTAATGAGATGACTTCTCGAATTCTACTTGATGTGAAAAGCAAAGAAAAATTCATTAAAAATTGAATGACAATTGAGAGATTTTCTCGTTTTCCCCCTTCACTTCAGAGTCTGAACGGACGATTCATTTGAAACGACTTAAGCATCCATAAATATCAAGAGACGGAAAATAAGTGGAAATGTCAAAAGATAAACGCTTTTTGTGCGAGTGAACTTTGTTGTTCTCGCCACGGAAGCATTTCAAAAAGTAATCATATTAGCAAAATATTTAAATCTACGCGCCGAATAGCATCGTTATACAACATGAAACAAAAGCAAAACGAGAAATTTCTTTTTTTTCCTTCTCTCCTAAAGCTTGAAATGGGAAAAAATTTGCATGAAAAAAATTTATTTTCCGTAAAATTTTCATTTCGTTAGCATTCTCAAGCAGCCAAAATCAAGGAGGGAAAAGAGAACAATTTTCATATTTGAGAAATGCGAGAAAAGCGGGAAAACGAAAATTATTAAATGCATAAAAAAATATGATTATTGTAAGTAATACAATAACATGTAAAAAGTGAATAAATAAAATAAAACAAAATATTGCAATATCAAAGAACAGATGAGAGGGAAAGTAAGAAAATTCGTTGAAGTTTTCTCTTGAGACAATTGTTAGAAGAGGCTTAAAATTAATGAAGAGTCGGTAAGTGTAAAAGTTAAACGTGAAAAATTATTTCGCCTTGCACCAGACATAAATGATTCATTCAAATCCTATCCTACATATCCATTATTTCAAACTTAATATATTCAACATTTAGTGAATGAAACCCTCCAATTTGCATTTTGGATAAAGACGGTCGATGAAATTTAAAAAAACTTTTTTTTCACCGTCGAATAAAAGAAAATTATAAATTTTCATGTGAGTCAGACATCATTTTTTTACGTTAGCTTTTCTTGGTATTTACAGAAAAGAATGATTTGCATTATTTGCCTTAAATTTAGAGCTTCCTGTTGTAGGATTAATGCAAGCAAGCTGTAAAGAATGTTGTATGATTCACGCTACGCTGTCGGCAAAATTGATGAGCCGTCTTCTTCACGATTCATAAGTTGTTGCGGTGAAAATTCGTTTACTTTTACTTTATTTAATTCGCTATATTATGTGGTTTCAATCGTATTAAAAATAGTCTTGAAATTCCAAACCTCATTGAAATATCATTGACAGAAAAAAATTATAAAGTTATAGATTCGATTTCAACATTTCAATCAAAGCAAAAAGCATTTTACTCGCATCAATAAATTGTTTGACGGAAGTTGCACAAACGTGTCTCAAAAATAGAAAATTGTAATAAAAATTCAGTAGAATTATTTATTATGGAATAGAATTCGCATTGGCTTATATTTATGATTTTATTTTCCTTTTTTGATCAATAAGATATATCACGAACTTCCTTATTTTTTCTTTTATTTTCATCATGCAGATTTCTTTAATCTTTTTACGCTACCTCAATGTTGAAAACAAAACGTCATGCTATTGAAAGATGGTAATCATAAAAACGCAGAAAAAAGCTATGAAGGAAAGAGAAAATATTGAACTGCGTGGGTGGCAAGGAGAATTATAAAAAAGTCACTTTTTATCGTCGCAATACAAAACGAGGAAAAAAAAAGTCTTCTCATAATTTCATTGCAATTGCGAAATTATTGATTTTAGCATTAAAAACTTATTAAGGGAATGTTTCTTGCAAAACGTTCGTGATCACGGACTGCATCAACAGGAGAAGGAAACAAGATATAAACTACTGCAGAGCCAGAGACAGATTATGGAAATTTCAGTACAGAAAACTTCCTTTCATTCCACGTAGGAAAAACAGTTTGTAAACATGTTTATGTCAGCAGTCGACGACGTCGACTATGAATTGTAATGGCATGACGATACTTAATGATACTTTATCAAACTCAAATCATTTGATTCCATTTTCTCCCACACTACAATGTTAAAGAAAATCAATTTTTCTCTACACTGAAAGCGCCAGCAAAAAAAAATTGTATATCAAAAGAGAGAAAGATTGTGAATGATAATGTCTATGCCATGTTAGTCAAGAAGCGACATTTAATCGATCCGATATCATATCAATCATAAATCTCGAAGAATAAAGATTTATTTTTTTCTGCTTCTTTCTTTTTCATGACAAGCGTTCAGTCACACTTGAGATGACTCGTATTAATTCATTAATAAGCCATTTCCGATCAACAATCTTCACATGGATGAAAGTCTTTTGGACTCAAGATATATTTATATATTTTTTCTCTATTTTGTCAAAGATTCGCATGAACATTTAATACGGGTGGAAAAAAGAAAGCGAGCTGAAGATACAAGAGAAGGAACGAAGGGAAAAAATGTTTATGGGCAATTAATTATAGTCCCAAGAATCATGACATGTACGAGAGCTTTCGATCAATAAATAGAATACAATTTTTTGCTGCTTTACTGTTTGACGGAGGAACATTGCGGACGCTGTATCGTCGTATCTTTCGACCCAAGCGTAAAAAATATCATAAGCAGATTTTCCCATCAAACGTCAAAGGAAAAGATTTTTTTCTTTCTTTCTACTCTACATGCTTAAGCTTCAGCAATAAACGCAAGTGACTGGAACTCATATGAAACGATGTAATGATAGGGGCGACTGTTCGATAGAATGGTTAAATGTCTCTTTTTTTTGCCTGGTTGTTGATAATAGCGAGTCAGTGAGTGGAGTGAAAAAAGAAATATTTGTAGCATAAAAACATATAATATTCGCATACATATTTACGGGAAAATTCCGGAAAACATAAACACATAAATTTATCGTTCATAATAGAATTATATGTTGGTAATATATAGCATTCGCATAAATATCACAATGATACTTTTTACTGCTCTCCCAATCTTCTTTAACTGTCTTTCCGTCGCCTCCCTTCATAGCTCACACATATCTCGTAAACGTTATACGATATAAATACCTTTTTATTAATAAAATAAATAAATGAATACATTTTTGCTACTGCTGCTGTGTGTTGCACTGCAACCTGACGATTGTGATGGAATAATTTTTCTATTTTTCCCCCTCATTCTCTTTTAACTTGATGAGATAAAGTTTGCTATGTGCCGTAATTTATTAAGCGTGTGGAGTTTCTTTTGAGACTGTTAAGTATTGTTTTCTCTATTTACTTTTATCCTTCCTTACGTTCCATCAAAAAGCGTTAAAAATAAGTAAATAAAAGTTGTGTGTAAATTACGCAAAGAGACCAGCATGCATATAGCAAAATAAAAAGGGAACGAACGATGTTTGTAGATGTTTATTGTATTTCCAGCACTTTTGAATTTAATTTGAAGAGAACAAAAGAATTGTTTTAATCTCATTCGTAGCAATCTTGTGTTTGGCTGGTTTTAAAACTCATTACAAGAGCAATCTCACCCTCCTTGGAAAAGAAGAATTAAAATTGTGAAAGTACAGAAAACGGCAACGATAAAAATGAAATTTTGTTGTTTTTCATAGCTTGGACTGTGATGATTGTCGCACAACCACTGCTGTTGAATGAACTGATCTTTTTGAGATAATTTCATAGTCGCATGAAAGCTTTTCATAAATTTATCATTTTATTTTCTTTCTCGACATACTTTTATGATGTTTTTTATATTAACAAGATTTTATGTATTTTTTTCTGTAATGCTTGTGTTATTTAACTCAGCCCGTTATACAATTTCAAATCGCTTTTCAAAGATCCTTTAGAATGAAACGGCGAGGCTCATCACTCGTAATGTCATTAAAATGCTTCTTTCTACTTTTTTTTATCACACTGTTGAATGAAGGGAAAATTCTTTACTCTTATTCTCGTGTCATCATAAAAAAGTGTTATCGCAATTGCCTTTCTTATGTGCTTTTTTTCGTCATTACTTGCTTTCCTACGGTAAGCTCGGGAAATATTTTTTAAAGTGAAAATGATGAAGGTAAACGAGAAACATTTTTATGCTTTTCATTTTGCCTTTGCTCTTTGTTGAAGTTTAGTTTAATTAATTGTTTTGTAATTAATGATGTTGCAGTTTTTGTGTCTTCAGTCTTCGTTATTCGTTCGCCTATCTCCCAAGTTATTTTTCATTAGTTTTCCTCACGTCTACACCAACAACAATAAAGAAGAAAGAAACAATTTTCTTTCAAGTGGAAAGCGGGAGAATTTGGAGATTTTCAACCGAAATTAAGCGATTTCACAAAGTCATTTGGAGGATTACTGTACTAGGCCTCAACTCACTGAGAGAAGAGATAATAAATTAGAGACATCATTAGATGGATTTTCATTGTTTGCAAGGCTTTTCTTTTCTTTTGCTTCTTTTCTTTCACTTACAGAGCATCGGAGATAATTAATGAGAAAATAAAAATAAAAAAAATTGAAATAATCGACTCACCATTATACAAAATAGTTGAGCCCTTGGGTGAGTGAGGCGGTGGTGAAGGCGCAGTTGCTCCGGCAGTTGGTGAAGATGGTCCCCAGCATGTGGCTGTTGTTTGCTTGTTAGCTGGTGAATCTCCAACAACATCAATTTCCTCTTCGTCTTCGACCTCAATCGTTTCACTCCGATCAGGCCACGGATAAGCTTTCCATTTCTTAGCCATGAGACATTTGGGCATGTTGTGGTTTAATTCTTGCTTAACACGCTTACCAATAGATGAGTTCGAATGTGAAAACTATTAATTGTCTTCTTCGAATGATTTTTCTCATTCAGGTAGCCAAAATGAAACTTCGATTCTTCCTTAGATTTCGCTTCACATGAGCTTTTTGCAATCAATAAATCCCTCGTTTCCCATTCACTTCTCAGCAACCTTTTTCTTTCTTATTCTTTTATTATTTTTTTCTCTTATGCTATGCTTTGGGAAAGAAAATAAAGTTTTGCTCTCGTATTGTGTATTTCTGCTTGTTGCTGTATTTTCTTGATGAGTCCACAAGTTTTTCTTGCTTTTCTATTTCCCTCGTTATTTAAAGCAATAAAGAGAATTCTTTTCGATACAGTCCGAAGTTTATAAAATGTTCTTCTTTTATTTTATTTTTCTGCTTTTTTTTCAGCAAATCATCAAGTTTTAATTTCTTTTAAGGATGAAAAAGTTTATTTATTTTTTTCTTCACTTTTGCTTTTTTTGTATCGAACATCGACTTAATGATTTATTTAACTACATAGACAATCGTTTGTTATGTATTTTTAAAATTTATGAGATATTGCTTTCTGCTTTCTTTTTCTGAAAATTGCTATCGATTTCTCACATGACACATTTATTAAATATCAATTTTTCTTCCCTCAATGTGTACTTAGAGAATATTTTCTTTTTCATATTTTTGTTGTGCACACTTCGCGTTTCAGAGCCACTTGTTAGAAGAAAAAAAGTGGAGAAAAAATGTCTTGAGTCAGTGAAGCAAACTCAACAAATAGATAAATGTTTTGACGTCACTTAAAGTTCTGGATTATCTCAATCACGAATTTAAGAAACATAAATTTGTTTTGAATGTTACAAAACTAAAGTCCACTTCTTATATATTTATGATGAGAATAGGAAAGTTAATTTTTGTTTTAGATTAATATCTTCACTTCACTTTTAAGTTTAAAGAGATTTAAATTTTCGAGAAAAGTCACGAAAAATTACGAAAATAAATCTCTAATCGACAGTTTTATTTCAACTATTTTGCTTGCTTTCCTTTGAGCCTTTTATTGTAAACTTAATTTTTTTTGCTTGGCTTACGACACAAATTAAGAACACAGAAACACAAAATAAAAATTGGATATAAGATGATGAAGAAGATATAGAGAAGAAGTTGAAAAAAATTGTGTTGCGAACTGTTTGTCTTCAACCCTTAAAGGCTTTTGATTCATCCCTGACTCGCGCACCAGCTTATAAAACACTACGAATTCAACTGGTTCGGATATTTACGGAGTGGGGATGAACAATCAACAAAGGAAGCATCAAAAACATGTTTCTGTCTAATGTTGAGTCCTTGTTGATCCTTAGCAACACATTGCGTGTTGCATGTATGAAACATTGACTAAACCACGACATTTCTCCTCAAAACATTCGATTGTTGCATGGAGAACTGTTGAGTGCGCAAATGTTTTTGATTCTCCTATTTTCTTTTTAATCGTATTTTCGCAATTCTCCTTTTTGATTTTATTCGTTTCGCTTCCTTGTTTTATGTGCGTATTTACATAAATGTATGTATGTTGTGTGTGTATGTGTTAGGCGATGGGAAAGAAATTAAAATAAAACAGTCTTCCGTTTTCCGTATCGTTCACTATAAAGTTATGTGCATTGAACAAACATAAACATTTTCACTCTCTCGTCGCATTGAATCACTTCGCTCTCTTGGTTTTATGTTCACTCTCTCAGTTTGTCTGCTTCTCTAACTTCTCATAATTCTTTGGCACTATCAAAGTCCCTTCAGGAAAAATTGCAGAAACTAACACGTAATAATTCATTTTCTGAAGGAGGAAGAAATTAAATGAAATAATTTTTCGCTGATTTATTACGTCGAGAACGAATTGGAAGTAAATATTTTCTATTCGCTTCTTATTCTTTTCTTTTGTTTCCGAATCATAATTCAGTCAGTCGAATATTACATCGATTGATGAACAACTATTTGTAAAGAAAGGCGAGAAAAATACGAATGTCATAAATATGACGCGATTCACGATAAGAGATTTCTTTTCATTTCTTCTAATTCAATCATTACATCAGCGATAGCAGTGATAGGATAATAAATCATATCGATGTCGATGAAAGGAACTTGGAATGAAAAACTACTGAAGATTATTATTTGTTATACATGTTCGATATTTATATTTGTTCTATTTTTATGCTTAATCATTATCAAGGCAGCAAATGTACACCAAACAAATCAGAAAACTTTCTTTTAGTCGAGGCATGTTTAGGGTGCAAGTGTGGGTGGATGGGGGAAGAAAAGAAGGAAAATAATAAAAATCAAAAAGCAAAAATTGACATGAATAATAAAAATTAATAATTCTTTTGCTTTACAAGCAATAGTTTGTCAGATTTTTATATCATTCGTATACGAAATCAAAATAAATTGATTTTATTTTTGTCTAAATCATAAAAACCAACAATAAAAATGCAAAGAAATCATTTATTTTACAGATATTTTCGCTTACTTGTATTTATCATATGCGAATGCGTGAATAAATGTATTCATCTATTTATTCATCCCTTCCACCCTCTAATGCTTGCTTTCTCCCATTCCTAACTCGTTTTCATATCCATCGATAATGATAACAAAGTTTCTGAGTCGTGAAAAATCGTAGGCAATAATCTTACTCGAAGACGAATAGAAATAAAGAAAAAAAAGGAAAATCTTTTGGACGGAGGAAATGAATTGAATTTTCCTTTCGGATTTTCATTTAGATTATTGAAAGCGAAATTGAGGTTTATTAAACGCAAACAGTGCAGCATTTAATCAGCGGATATTTTGATTTCGATTGATGATATTTGAGGCCAAGCCTCTGGTGAAGAGAAGAATGACCGAAAACAACAAAATTGATATGACGAGGTTACAAAAGGAGTCGAGAAAATTCAATTCAAAGTTTCTATCAGTCTAGAAGCGCGTGAACGTCATTTACTTATATTTACAGTTGAATTTTAAATTTCAAAATATTTTCTAATTAGATGTTTATCATAAAATTCTGACGTTTTGCTTAATTTATAATTGCAGTTTAATTAAAAGCTATTTCTAAAATTGTATTGATTTTCAGCAGCGAATAATTCAACAGCCATTTCAATGTTTCGATTTGCTGTGTGAAGTGACTGATCTGTAATTCATTCACCGCTATAAACCATATGTAGCTCGTAGGATGATATAAAATTCAAACCTGTATCAAGGCTTATCAGATTAGACATTTTAAATAGCGATGCAAGAACAATAAAGCGTAATAGAGAGAAATTGCATACTTATAATATCAAAACAACATTTGCATGCATGAGCTTTACGCGTTTACATATTTTCATCAATTTATTGCAAATTGAAACGATGTGTAACCAATTCATACAAAATTTAACTCTTGTTAAGCAAAAACATTACGATAAAAGTTTCTCGTTGATATTTCTAACATAATAAACAATCAACAAATAGCCACTGCAGAAGCTTTTAATTATCGAGTTGAAAAATATTGTGCAGAAGGGTTCGGAAGATGAGATAATAACGTTAATTTTATAAGCTTTGATGAATTGAGAATCGTTATAAAAAGAAGAAGAAATAAAGTGAATGTTTGTGATATTGCATCACGCCAAAAGGATGAGATTAAAGTTGGAATGATACGAGGGTTGCATGATCACATTCTTTGTTATGTCAGGCATTAAGAAATTTTCGACTTCCTAAATATTTATCTATGCGTATGTTTGAAATATTTCGATTCGGATGATTTTCAAACAGAACTAAGTGCAAAAATCCACGAAGTGTGCATGATGATGTTAGCTACGCTTAACGGACGTATATAAAGAATGGTCTAGAGAATGACAAATAATCGAACTACGGAAGTTTGTGAATCTACATCGTTAGCATAACTCAGCAGTAAATTGTTTGAAAATAATAAAAGAGAAAAATTGCAACATCAAAACAATTTTCATTTCCCTTCAATTCGATGCAACAATTTGTCCACATGGGGAAAATTTAGCAGAAAAAAAGAATGAATCAAAAGCTTTTTACATTTTTACGCTCTTTTATCTATGGAAACAAATCAATCGTCAGACGATTCTTCTGTGGCTCTCTTAAAATTTGTTATAGTCGCATTAAAATCCCATAAATCGAGAGTTATTTATTTTATTTGTTCACATTTTTATTACTTTTCCACTGCAATTTATTTTACAGTATTTTACGAGGTTCCATGGGACGAAATATCAAACGATGAAGGAACCAAAAAACTCACAGACAATAAATAATTTTTTAATTTCATTTATCAATGGATTCGAATCTCACTCTTCGTCTCTACATTGAATTTGTATACGCGAGGTCATATTCACATTCATCAGCTGTTGCACATTTGATAAATTGTGGAATGAGAGACAGGCAAGAAGTGCAGTTTTCTTCTCATTTTGCGGGCAAAAACACACACAAAATAATATTATCTACTTATTGTGGATTGAGCACAGCACACGGCTAATGGAGAGAAATTTTCCTTTTATTTTGGGTTCGCCATGAAATCAATAAGCACAACCGAGGATGCAAAACTTCCAGACATAAAGAAAAAGACGTTTACAAAGGACCCAAAATTATTTTGAGGGTTGGATGTTGAATGAAGGCAAAGAAGATTTTTTATATTAAAGAATGTCGAATTACTAGTTGGAATGCTCGTTCAATTGCAACCTTTTGACTTGTGATTACTATCAATTGCCTACCTAAAATCATCGTTTAAGATACAAACAGCTTTAGGTTTTTATAAAATACGAAAGCATAAGAAATGACGATCCTATTGAGACTGCAATTTATGTCCTGGTTTAATTTTTCATTCTTATTTTTTGCATCAGGCTGCAAACACACATTTCCATCAAACAACATTAAAAAAAACCAAATATTGAAAGTGTGTCGAGAATGAACAATAAAAAAGCAGATTTATTGATCAGATGCACTTCGAATGAATGGGGAAGAGAATATCAACGAGAGGTAACTGTTTTCAACACAGAAGAAGGAAGAACTTAACTGTTTCTCGTTTTGATCTCGAGCAAAAAACATAAAATAATAAACAGTTGTCTTCTTTATATTGTTGTTGTCTACATGCTTACATGATGGAGACCCTCGCAGATGAAGATTCCTTTTCAGTAAATCGAGATCGTACAGATTGAATGGAATGTAACAGGATCATATTTTTTGTTTGGTAAACGTCGTCAGATGTTTCGTTCGTTCGGAAGAGTCGTCGACAAAAGTTAGCAACATTAGTTTGTAATAATTGTTTTTCTTTTCATTCTTCCTTCTTTCTTTGGCATGCTTCAGATGCCTCTAAACAAATTTTTCTTTCTACGCATATCGCAAGGCTCGTGGCATTAATAAATGACTTGCGAAATTTTATTGAAAATAAAAAAATATCTAATATCGGAAGAAAGAAAAAGAAAATCCTTTTTCAACAACAGCACGAGAGTGAGAGTTGTGAGTTGTAAAGGGTTGTAGGCCACAAATTTTCAAAATAGAATGATGGATCGTTTGATGCTTTTTTTACTCGTGGCTTTGCGATGGTTGGATGGATGGAAATAAAGAAATTTGCATTTCAATGTTAACCCTCCCAGTAAAAGTGAAAAACAGCCCCCGATGACTTTGAAGCATGAAAATCTCCGCTCGGTACCACATTGTACAATTCAACTTCGTTTCGATATCACATGGAAAAAGGCATTAGGCAAGATCTATTGTTCTTCAAGGGTCAACCGCCCTTTCCCTCTTTTCATGACTCAAGTACAAAGTGAATAAATTTTCAAATCAAATGGGTTACCGTCAAGTTTCAATTTTTTTATTTTACTTTTCATTTGACAATAAGAAGCCCATCACCCTTCACTCTACCTACAACAAGGATCAGCAAGCTCTCCTGGCCACGGTTCAAGGATTTCCTCGAGTGGTCAAAAACAAAAATAATCATTAAAAAAGGAACATAAAATTTGTTTTTAATTCCACCGAATATTTTATCTTGAAGGCATTAAAGAAACTTAAAAATCTATGTAATAATCACATATGGCGCATATGGTTCGACACGCGTCTGAAATTCCTTTTTTTCGTTTTGGTTATTCATTCAAAAAGAAGGAGAAGCAAGAAAGAGAAGACGAAAGAGATCGGGAACCTTAAGCGCGTGCCGGTAACAAAAAATTTTAACAAACGAGAGGTAAAAAGAAATGGAAGGTAAACGGGAGGGACGCTTTAAGATATGCACATAATAATCAACTATTGTGGAGTCTCAAATGCGCTCAGTTGTGACGCAACAAGAAAGTTCAGCATTGTGCCGCATTGTTGGTGAAAAAGGACTTGAAGCATATCTGAATAATTTTATTTTTCTTTTAGAATTTCAATAAAGTCAATGTTAGGTACGAATATATGTGCATATATACATATATCCAATTACTAATTAACACTCAATTGACTTGCAGAAAAGGTGTGGGGAATAGAACTAGTAATTTATTTTGGCGCGTGTAGCAGCACAAAACTCTTTTCATTTCATCATGCACATTACTTTCGGTTGACTGATCGCATTGAGGCACCACACAAAAATCATTGACGACTGACATAAAGTGTAAAAGGAGAGTCGTGAGACAATCATTTGTGATAATCACTCGAATAACTTTGCACAATGGAACCAACACTTATTGACGACGACATTTGCTTCTGAGAATTTCATCGTGATGAGAATTGTTATCGAAAATGTCTGGAAAGTTGATGAAATTTTCAGGCTTCTGACAATAAACTTGATTTGATAATTAATTGAAAAATGATTCTTGAAACTGATTTCTTTCAATACATCTTGCTAGTCTTATATGCGCATAATGTTCCTTTTGTTCTTCTTCTTCAAACTGTTTTATTCAATTTATTGAATCAGCAAACTCGACGTGAAATAAAAGTATATGTGTATGTCCATCAAATCGAGAAAAGGTCACCATAGTGAAGGAAACATAAAAATAGCCTAATAAAGGATGAAAAGGGAAAGAAGGAAAGAAAAAAATAAAATCAAGCGCACAGCAGAGGAACAGAAAGCTATCCATGCCATATGGACGAAAGGGCAGTGGCATGAAGCAGGTATAAAAACGGATACCAATCAAATATTAAGGTCAGCACATTTAATAAACTCTCCTTCTTCAAACCATCCGTTTAGAATCGTAAAAAGAAAGAAAATAAAACTTCTAATGCTTCAGAGTTCGATCACCCGAGTGTCGTATTTCTTGAGAAACGGGATAGACACGTCATACCAATGATTTCCAATGCTAAGTGTTACTCTCCACGCTGTGATGCATAAAATAATAGAAATAATCTTCAATGCAATATCGTGCACTGTTTAATATTCTTAAAGTCATTGCAAACATAAACAACGAACGCATCCTTCGACTTTCGACTTTATTTTGTTCCATCGTAATAAAATAGAACTAACTGCGAATCGGCACGAGACCAAATGGATTATCGCATTGAAATAAATACAATGAAGATTCTTGACAACTCGATCCAGCAAACAAAAGTCTGGATCGGCCTTTTATTTGTTTAGCATTTGTTGAGTAAAATTTGGAAGAAGTCGGAAGAAGGCAAATAATATCGCATGAAATTTTCTTTCTTTTGTTATGGTCCGCAAAAAAAACTAATAAACATCTTGCGCAGCAAAGCATCAAAGATGTGTAGGAGAGAGAGAAACAAAGCTATTGATTGTGACATATTAAGACGGGAAATTCAGTGAATGAATGCATTTCTAAATTGAATAAATCCACCAAATCTAAGAACGTATGACAGGAAATTAAGTTAATGGATATGTGATAACAAAGAGACCAGCAGGGGAAAGTTTAAGACCGGTCTCAGATTCCTTTCAATTTAGGTTTCAAATTTTTAATTAACTCTGCTGTTGTTTCCGTTTATGACATTTATTTGGTTTATTAAAAAGCTGCTAGTAACGAATAACTTTGTGAAGCTTGAGAAGCAAAACATTCTGAGTTTGACCTGTCCAATCACCCACACACACAAAAAAAATTAATTTCATGGAACTTCTCGGTTTTGATGAACGAATATAAACCTGAAGCCATACATAAATATTAGTGGAACTGGAACCCTTCAAGTTTATAACATCCTGGAACAAACGACATGACAAAATGTGTAATTATGAAATGTAAAATAACTGCTGAAACTCAGTTATGTCTCGCCTTTCCTTTGTGACTTGACATCTTGATTCTCAGAATAGGAAATAAAATGTTAGACAAACAGTTTTTCAGGGACATCAAGCGAAAAATCACCTTTTCACCATGGAATATGATTTTGTGAGAGAATGTGTCGTCTCATGTCAAAAACATAAATGATTCACTGGTCCCTTTACATGGTGAAACAAACTCTTGAGCTTCTAGACAGATTGTTGTTTCCCCGTTACACCTTTTCCTCGTTATTCTTTTGCAACATGTTTCCGATTGCTGAAGTGCGACGAACTAGGAAGTAAAGAATTCATACCTCACACTCTAAACCCAAATCACTTTTAAAAGAAATTTTACAATGTCAAATGTTTTTTCATTCTAATGAAAACATGAAAGCATGTCTCGGTAATCCGTTTTCTGTATCACAACATATTTTTATTGTACGAATACGATTGCAAGTTGGGAAGAAAAAGGTAATTTCCATTACAAAACAAAAACATTCTCTCATTCAAATTGTCAGCTTGATATATCACAGATCCTTCCACTCTTGTTCGTGTTACAATTTATGCACAAAAAATCATTAGAGACACATTAGGCTTGAAATGAATGAGCGAATAAACAAAAGGGCAGAAAAAAAATGAAAATGGTTTGTTGCCATTCTCAACAAGCGATAACAACCAGTGGAAATACAAACAGCTGACATTTATGTTTCGAGTTTTATGCAAAGCACGGTGAAAGTATAACTTTTTTTCTTTCATATCATCATTGATGTGAAAATCACTAAACAACTCATAGTTGAGCGTGCAGAAAGCCATTAAGAGTATAAAATGTTGTGCTGATCAAATTAGAATGTCTTTCCATCTCTATCACTCTCTTACTTTCTTTTTAATTCATGAAGTGTAGCATAATTCATAAAATAGCTCTTCCTAAATATATTTTTATCTGAATAGGGACCATAACTCATTTTATTTCAAAACCGGACCTTTTCTATGTGCTTGGACTTGGTCGTAGCAATTTTTATTTATTTTTCAGCACCAAGCAATGTTTTGTTGCCGTTTAACTCAAGCATGAAAAACAATTTCATTTCAACCCCAATAAAGTTTTGCGTCTCTCTCTTAAATGAATGTTCATTTCAAAAAATTATTGAAAAGTTTTTGGTGCGCTATGTTGTTATGTTACTTGTTGTCATCAGTGGCCTGCTTTTGATCTCGTACAAAACCGGCAATGAAATTACGAAAATTGAAAAATTTATGCTGCTGTTAAAATATTTCTGCTCCCCCGTATATGCTCTACTGCCTCATTATAAATATGAAAAGGGTCCATAAAAATAAATTAACAATATTATGTGCAATGTATTTCTTTTTTCTTTTTTCATAATGCAAAAAGCCGAGAGAAATAATAATAAAAGCATTTTCATTAATAGTGAGAAAAATATGAAAATTTGTTGTCGTTGGAAAGGAGAAAGAAATTCATAGGCAAAAATTGGTGAATTGCTTTTCTGAACATTAATACGATTCATGAATGGGGTGTTAACTGGTCTGTGTTATTTAATTGAAGCTTATTATGAAAGTGCCTGTTTTAACTCGCGGCATGCACAGCATAAAGCTGAGCAATAAATTTTTCATTGATTTATGCAAATGTTCATGGCTGAAAGCAGGGAAAAAGGGCGAACAGAACATTAATTGAGTAAGATTGTATTGAGCTTGAAACATCCAAGAACACATAGAGGTAGTTGATGAAAATATTTTATCGATAAATTCACCATTTTTCCTTCTGTTTATTCTGAATCATGCAATTAAGGGTTCAAGTTTTACAATTTTTTTTTATTTGGTTTTGTTGAATGCACAACCATTTGTTGCTACATGATACCATGCGAGTTGTTAGTTACTTATTTTTGTACTTTATTCTCAGCGCATGAATAAAAGCAGAGAGAAGCAAGTCTAAGCCACAACACCTGGTGTCCGTGCCTCCGATATGCAACAATAACACCTAATAATAAAAATTTTAAACTTACACACAGAAGGCAAAGGAAACAACAGTAAACAGCAAAGACCTACATCAACCCCACATCGAAAATAATTAAAGTTTATTTATACATCTGGTGATGATTGAAATGAAAATAAAAGAAATTCCCAAAGGTCGATATCGATCAGAAATTTAATGTACTAACTGACATTAAAGCGATCATTTTATCTTCCTTGTTCCGTCGTCTCATGTTAAAAATATCAAACGAATGCAACATATTGAATCAACAATATCGGCAATGGAAAAGAGAAATTACTATAATTAAATTTATTTTTGTTCCACGCAAAAACAAAACTTTCAACCGCAATCAAATTTATAAAACATAAAAATCGAAAATTTCATTCGATGATTAATGCTTTGGTCAATATCAACTCATAACAAGCTTGCAAACAACAACATCAACACATGTTTCTGAAAAAATCAAAATAACTTCTTTTTATTATTTTTTTGGATAATTTCATAATTGAAAATTCACAATGGAATTGAAAACAAAGTCAGTTGCATTGCATTTATTTAACTTAATAGAAGTTCAATGTGAATTAACAGAAAAACAATATTAGATATTAAAAGCTGAATAATTAATGCAATTTGAAGTTTTGTATGATTTATTTACAGCATTTTCGCCTTTAAATGTTGATTTTGCATCCCCGACGAGTGCGATAACTGAAAGGCATTTCATGTATGTGTACATTGTAAATATAAATAATATACAAAGCAAATAAAACAAATTTATTATGAATAATTAATCATTGAACCCATTTTAATATTTTTGAATATGCTGAAAGCAGGAAAAAGTGAACGTTCAACAGTTTCCAATGCTTCTTCCTAATAGTGTCATGTTGTGATGATACTAAGCAAGTTTTCACTGCAAGAATTTCTATAATTAAATTATGAATAATATTTATTAATAATTTATCAGATTAATGACAATGTATTAGTTCAATGAATTTTTAATTAATTGCATAAATTCCAAAATTCTGTTTAATTAAGGGGAGAAAAAAAATTCTCGTTCTAAATTGACTTTGAATTTATGACACTCATGTTTTCATCTCGCGTAAATACACATTTAAAGCATAGATTTGAAATAATAAATGCGATCTTAATCACCATGATCATTCAAATGCTTTGCACCTATTCATAATTTCGCCCCTTTGAATTCTTTTTCCTTCTTCTTTCGAACTAACAACCCCTCATTTATCTCAATGCGAGAAGCATGAAGCATCTGAATGCAGCAGCCGGTTCAACAGTTTTTTAGACGAGGAAAAGAATTACCAGTTGCATATATCTCGAACGAAGTTCGTACGTTGCCATCGTCTACATCGACGAGCGGTACAAATTTTTATTGAGAGTTGAAAAATGCTTTTTATTTAAAAACGAGACAATTAAGCAGCTGTCTATTTACCTAAAGCTATAGTTGCTTCTAAATATCTTGGGGAGGCGAAATAAAAAGGCATAATGCTTCTGCACATTTCGAAACATGATCTCTCTCGGGATGCGAGTTACAACCGTAAAAATATGATGAAATGTTTCCATGTCGAAAGAGAAATAAATCTTCTGAAATAACTAATGGACACACGTTCACATTCACTTTTCTTAACTTCATTCAATTGCTTTTCTTGATTTACTTCAATTTGACGCACCAAATGTTCAAAATAACAAAATATTTAACAGCTACGAAAACACGATTGCCATGGACAGATAGATTTCCTGTTAAAAATATTTCAAGAAGAGAAGTTTTCGTCGTCCAAAAGTTCAAAGACCTTTATTTGTTGAATAAAGGAAGCGATCGACAGATGGGATAACAACAAAACCATTTGTAGAACCGACTTCATAATGATATTAGATTTCAGTTTTAGAATGAATTTTTGTTTTTCTATATCGATAACTAAATGACTTTTCAATTAATTACGTGCCGAATGTCTATTTTGCATGATCTTTTAAGCGCTCCTTTAAAAAATTAATATGGGAAATAGAAAATCGATGGAAGTGAAAAAGCCAGACAAGAAATAAATAGAACAAACAAAAGGAGTGAACTCTCCACGCGATAAGCTATAATTATTAGTTAATTAAAGTTTAGTTTTCAAACTTCTTTCTTCCTATTTTTTGATAATTAATTCAGCTTTTTATGGTTCTTTCTTTCTCCTTCTGTCAACAAGTTTAATTAACCTCTTATGGTAATACCAACAGATATCTATAATTGAAAATTGATAGATATTTAATAATTTTGTCCATTATCTACGTAAACGCAGATGATGATTTCGATTCTCTGTGGATGTTTGTTTTATTTTCACTTCAATAATATTTAGACGAATTTCTCCGATAGATAAATAAATAAGTCGTACTTGAAGGTTAATTAACACTCTATAAACGCAAATGTCAACCGAGAACGTTATCGGAAAATTTTATTGCTGTTTGCTATACTTTTTTCCTTCAATTAATTTCTTGAAATAAAATTCGAAAGGTAATGATAATGACATGTAATTACATCTGATGGACTTGTAATGGAATGAAGAATGGTGGGAAAAGTAGAGTAAAGTAGCTTTAAAGATGTTAAATTATTTAATAAATGAGTCAATTACTCGGAAGGGGACACACATATTTAAGATATGTACAACGTTATGTTCAGATGTTCAAGCTCTGCTTTAATAATTCAACAATCAAATTGTTTATGCTGCATTTCTAAGCTCCGAGAATCATTTACAAGCCATTAACAAGACAGATAATGATTTTGATGCCGCTCAAACTTCAATTGGCTCACCTATTCGAAAAGTAAACATCATTCACGATTGACAAGCTATGGTTGTTTCCCCAAGACAACTTCCAATTAATGATTTACCGGCCCTCACATAAATTTCCCTAGAAAAAGCACTTTTGAAAGCGTAGGCTTAATAAATGTAATTTAGTTTCATTAGACTTGTACTAATGGGACAAGTGAACGAAATGTTCATCGTGTCATGTAAAGGGGGAAAAAGTTAGAAGAGATTAAAGGTTAAAAATTGACTCATTTATACAAACATCAAAATTACCCTGATCAGAAACTGTCCCTTAATTTGATGTCCAATATTCGTCTGTATATACAAGTAATTTTCTAATTTCGATCCACTTGTAAAGTTTCGTTGTAAATATTGCATGATTAATTCTATAAAAAGTTCATTTCCATGAAAATTTAAACAACATCGACAAATAAAAGGAAGCAAAAAAGGGTTTCGAGTTGAAAGGAATTTGCATACGTTACGATCACGACCGCCAAACTTTGTGAATTATGCAAAAGCGATTAGATTACTTAACATTTTTCCTAAGTTTATTTATTTAAATTCTCGACTGAATGATAATTGAAAATATCCAAATTTCGCATGAATCCATAGAAAATAACTTTTATTTTATTATCTAGTTTTTTGAAACGTGAGAGTGACATGGGAAATCGGAAGGAATTGATATCGATTCCGTTAATTTTTACTTTTTTATATGTTTATCGACAGCTTGGTAAAAAAATATCAATTTCAAACTTTAGAAAAAAGAATTAAATCGAATCCACTTCATTAAGCTACTTCAATGGATAGAAAAAAAACCACACCGTTGACAGTTGCGAAACAAGAGTTAAAAAAATTCTTGTCGTTGATATCAATTTCAAATGAGAATCAACTTCCGTTAAATTTGTTATGCATTGTATCGATCATAATCGTGTAGTGTGCAATGGAGAACAAAAAAGTGTTTAAATTCACAGTTCCCACAAATATATCGGAAGAATGTGTTGTAAGAATGGTTTTTGTTTCCTTGTAACTCTCGTGCCATAACGACTGTGGAGAGCTGGTTGAAAATGTGCATTGAAACTTGTTACAATACTGAACGGATATTGGTATCGATATCCTATTGATGCAACGAAAATTGTGAAAGTTTTGATGGTATAAACTATTTTTTTGGCTTCACTCGGTTCCGGTAGGTTTCTTCCTCCTTCATGTGACTAAAAATCTCGAATGAATTTTTAAAACTCTTGATTTTGTTTTGAGAAAAGAAATAAACTTTCGATTTTCTTCTCGACACTTTTTGTTGTCGATATTTATTTTCTTCCTCATTTTGCTTTTGGGTCTTCGACAATATGTGACATTATTAGAAGTTGTTACCGAATAAAAAATAACATACGATAATACTCGACGTTCACATAAAATAAAATTACTGTTTATTATCAATAAGGAGTCGAGGTCTTCCTTTTAGGGACAGCATTTGGTTCATGGGAATTCTTGCTTCCTTCTTTTCTTGCTTTCTATCAATCGTTCAACAGTAAAATAAATTTCATTTTTATATTTTTGCAATCTCAACAAAACTGCTCCTGAGATGTTATGTGTCGACTTACGAAATGAAATATTATTAATGTTTGAGAGAAAAAGGCTTTCGTACACTCAACAAAGGGTCGACATTCAAAAACTTTACTTTCTTCCCATCATGAACATCTGGAGCGCGCATCTTTATTTGAAAGCAATCTAAAATGTTACTACTAAGCAAAATGAATGACATTTGTCAGTGTAAGAATAAGAAAGTTAAAGCGTGTTAAAGTTAAGAAAAAAAATCATATTCAAGAGTGTTTCGTGATTGATTGTCAGGATACATCCCAAACAAGCTAATTAAATCACACACTTAATGAAGCTAATAAAGTCTCACTCAAAATAAAAACATTGGAAATTTATGTTGCACAAAATAAATAAATTACTTTGATTAACAATTGTTAACTTGCGTCAACTTTCAGTTCTTTGATAGTTTCAAGTTTTCTTCTCATTTTTCATTAATGACTCATTTTAAGTGGAACACATTTTTCCTAATGTTATTTTTCCGTAACAAGTTTAGCGGAAACTAAAGATTTTCATCGCCCTCTCGAGTCAAGTTGCGAAGAGAAAACTTGTTGGGCGAAGAAAACTTTCTGAACAACAGTCGTAAAAACCAAATGGCAACGCAAAACTATAAGGAAACATGGAAAAGGAAAAAAAAGTTTTCTTTTATGGATTTTCGTTCATCGAATCAGATTTCACTTAAGCTGTTTATCATGTGAAATGTTTTCTGACAACCCAACTCGGGAACATTTATGACATTAATCGATGTTTAATTAAATCAAATGGAAACTTTAGTTTTATTTTTAAAGTAAGAGATTTCCAAATGAAGATTAAAATTGTTTGTAAGTGGAAATGATTTCACATTTCTAAATGATTCTTAAATATCTGTAAACGACTTTTTATGTCGTTCATATGAAGTGAAATCCATTTGTAAATTTATACTCTTAATTCCCATAAGAATGTCATATGTTGCTACTACAGTTCATGCATAATAACTTGTAGAATGTTAACATAAACATTTTCCATCCCTCTACAAAATTTTCATTTAAATATTTCCCCACCTTTTCCAAAACTGCAATGGATCTCATGCTGTAGCATGTTGTTCCACTCCATCAGACTAATACTTTTGACATTTATTTTATAAGCAAACTCATATGATGATCATATATTTTGTTTTAACTGGTTAGTGGTTAGATTGTACATCCACCGGAAGAGAAATGAAGGTAGAGTGAGACTTGGGAAATGTTGTATAATGTTGCTTATGCGTCAATTTGATGTTTGTGTTATGTCCTGATTCTCAAAGGAATCAGAGATGAAAACGATCTACTCCCCAATGTTCAGATTTACATATCATTTATATGTGCTTTCAAGCAATCTACCTGTTTTTCAACCATAAATATTAAGTATTGAATCTCCACATGTCTCGAACGTTCAATGGTTCAAGGATTGCAGGATCATGTAACTTTAGCCTTAATTGCAATGAATTATCTGCGTTTCCAATGCTGTAATTTTGTAGTTGAAACGTTCAACTTTTTGAGATTTAATTAATCCTTCAATTCGTAAAGAAATTGCATGATTGATAGAAGTTAGTCCAAGTTGGGATTTAAATATTGTGAAAATCACGAACTTGCATGTCTTAAGTTAGAAAATTGGCATTTTTTATTTATCTATATTCCCTTAACGTTATCAATTATATAATTTTCACATACGTCAATATCCAATTTTGGCATATCCATAAATATCACTTAAAAAATCGCATAAGCAGATGTTTATCGTCAATTTATTATTGTTACTCCTTGTTTCCAAAAGTAATATAAAAAATACAATTCCACACGCTATATTTCGCATTGGAAATTACATTCTGCAATGCTTTCCACAAGCTACAATTGCAGATTTTCTTCCTTCACCGTGTAGTACAATTTATTTAATTCCAACAATTTAAAGCATAGGAAAAAATTAAATTACATTGAATAATATTCTCAGCCGTTTGTGCGAAAAAAAAAATAACATATATCTCTTTTCTTTTCTTTTTTTCAACACAAATTCGACGAAAACTTTTCAAATAAAACTTGTTCAATGTTTTCCTTCACTTCCCTCCCCCAGCACTTCGAATATGGCGATATTTTAAGGGAAAAACTTTTTCCTTTCCTTTCGTTGAGTTTAGATTAGTTTTTTTTGCGGCGAAAGACGTTTTGTGCAAAATTAAGAATCGAACACGTAGTGTAACAAAAAGTGAAAAAAATTCTTGACAAACAACACTTGTTATGTTTCATTAAACTAATATTCTCACCCCCTCCGCCATCCAATTTTCGTTCTGCAGCCGTTTTTGAATTGTTTCATTATTATGGCTTTATGTCTATAAATATTTATTTTGAACCAACAGTCGTCAGTATAGACAAACTGTAAACCATGTTTATTGATAATTACATTGTTTACAAATGGCTTTTTCAATTGTTATTTAAAAGAAACTGATAATTATAGACTGTTGAATATAATTGTTTCATGAGAATATTTTTTTATTTAAAAAACCATTTCCCATACTTCACAATCTCTGGAAGAAGAAATAAATTTACATGTGCAAGCTATTGACCATAGAAAGATCAATTAAGT